ACAAAATTTCGTAAAATGAATTAACACGTAAAATAAAAATAACTCGTGGGAAATTGGAAAAAATTTGAATTCGAGGTAAGGAAAAATTAAAAAAAATTCTAAGAGTTTCAGAGGTCCAGAGTTCCTATAGTTTCCAACTCAAAATTTTTCAAAATAAATTAACACGTAAAATAAAAATAACTCGTTGGAAATTGGAAAAAAAATTTGAATTCGAGGTAAGGAAAAATTCTTATAAGAGTTTCAGAGGTCAAGAGTCTCAAAATGTTGTAAAATGAATTGAAACATAAAATTGCATCTTTTATTTGGATTTATTCCTAAATTTAGATTTCCGCAGTAAAAGGGGAGTTTGTCTACTCTAAGAACTACCCCCGACACAAAGTCTGAGGCAGTTTGCTGCTTTGGGAACAAGAATAGCACATTTCAGGGAGGGTAGCTTTTGTTTCCTCTAGTACTACCACAATAGACCGAAGGGAAATATTCCTTTTTTTTTTTTACCGACCACATACCCCTACTTGACTTAGTTATACCTCGTTACCATAGTCACCGCTACGGGTCCAAACGAATGGCTATGGCTATTTTTTAATTAAAAAAATGATTGATGGTTTTTAGGTTTTTNCTTATCTTCACATCGAGAGCAGTTTTTCAAATAATCGAAAAATAAATGTTTATTTTATTTATTTTTTGGAAACAAAATAATTTATAATCAGCAAATATTTTAGTATTAAATTTTAAAAATATTTTACATGGATATTATTATTTTAAATTTTACAATGCATGTCAAAATATTGGAAGTTTTCGTTTTGCTTTTTCAAATAAGAGAGAGAATTTTAGCAGTTAAATATGACGAAATTTAATGTTTATGAACATATTTTTATAAGCCTGCTTACCTTTCATTCATCTTGCCTGTTTTCTTTTAAAAATGAATATTTTTAAAAAAACAACCAACGATCATTTTGTTTATAAATTATTAAAAAAATACGATAACAATAAATTTAACGAACATTTTTAGGTTAATCATCAGGAAAAATGAATGATTACCTACCTAAATTTTAAAAAATACCAACTGTACTTAAAATATTTAAAGTTAGGATTGCATGACACAATATAAAAAATAAAGAAGAAGTATTTTACACTATATAACGATTACTTATATGAAATAATTTACATGAAATATCCAAAAGAATAATTTTTTTAATAGTTATTTGCAATGCAGTTGTATTCTTCCTCACAACATTCCTTTATTATTTAAAATATTAGTAAATTTTTAATGGACAAACAGGGTAAAAAATAATCGGATTTATTTAAATATTTTATAAATATATATATAAAGTTAAAAACATGAAGCTTCTCTTCTCTTCTTTTTTAAATTTTTTCCAAACTTATTATATGAGTTCTATGTACTTGCAGGTTGTGTGTAATAAATGAAACATTTTTCTTATTTTTTCAATAATCTCTCTTTTTTTAAAAATCCTTTTTGTTATTGTTTTATATATAAATGTTAATGATTCTTAAATCAGAAAAAATTGATTCCAAGTGTGACAAGACCACCATTGACTTTACAGATTAAAAGCTTTATCAGGGAGTTTTTTTTGGTTCACAACTTTTCTCCCAGCAACGGCTGGGGCATCAAATTTTTCACTGCAGTTGGACTGCCTCCCTCAAATATTAGTACACCATGGAATATTATAATAATATAGTATGGTTGTGTTCAATTCAGCTACAATTACTATGTCGGCAGATCATTTCATAGACTAGGTCATTTCGATGACAAGTCATTTCATCCACAGGCTAAATTCGTAGACAAAGTCAAGCGGAAAGTTTTAGGGTTAGTAAGATTATGTGTTATGTCACTAGCCCTTTTTCATTATTTAGTGTATTTAAGTTGAAATTTTTTAAACCCAGCCTGGAGTAAAATTTTTGTATGTTGTAGTTGCAAGAAAAAAAGAATTTTTTAAAATTATCTATTCCTTTTTATAGCTGTATGCCAACTTGTTAAAAACAAAAATAGGAGCACAAAACATAAGCCAATCCGGGGTAATTGTGGCAAAGTGAAAAACCCTGAAAATTTTATGTGCAAAAAATGGATGTCAATTCATAAACCATACCTAACATAGTTTCTTGAACTAACAGTTTTAATTAAATTACTTACTGATGGAGAATATCACAACTTTATTGTAACTTATTCAAGAAAAAACTTACTTTTTAGAAGAATATGGACAATGTATAATTTTTTTTAAATAAATATCATCATTGAAAATGTTCTGAAATATTGTATCCCAAAATCTAAATTCATCTAGACATCTCTGCTCAGTTCTTATTCTAGCAAACTTTATTGTATAGTTTACCTTTTAGTTAATATCGAGAAATAATCCACCAAACTTGGGCGTAAAATTCACCTACTAGCTGAAATCTAGCAGTACCTACTGAATTTCATATAATTTTTGAAAATTCCTAATATTCAAAGAACTCTTATCTTGGAAAGTATTACAGCTACATGCTTCATATTACTCTTAAATTGTAGATAATTTAATTTAGTAAAAAACAGCAATTTACTTAATTTTTGTAATATCCTTACTTAAAAAGATATCTGTAAAAAAAAAACAGTAAAAATTTAAGTGACTTTTTTCAACACACACCTCTAAAGAATTGGAAAACAATGTACCAACCAATACAACATATCAAGATTATCCTAATTTCTGTAATCATTCATGATAATTTGATGGACTTTTAATCTTTTTAATACTTTGCATGCTATTTTAGTATATCTGTTACATGCACAAAAAAGTTTATTTTTAAATAATGTTAACTGGTTAAAATTGTAATTTCTTTACTGCACAATAAAACATCTAAAATTAAATGCATCCATAAAAAATTACATTTGATTTTTTGTCAATAAAAGAATAAGAACAAAATAAATCAAAATTAAAAGCAAGAATATCTTATACTGATTTTATTCCATGACATTATTCACAATTTATACAAGATATATACATTATGAGCATAGAGTAGTTTCTGGACCACTAGTGGTTTACGAAACAATTGTTCACAGATGAAGATGTTTCTCTTTAGTGGCATCAAATTTCTCCTCTTCTGACTGACACAAAATTATCTGCTACTTTATACAGAACATGGAATGATTAATGCTCGTATTTTATTTTTTAATAAATTTGATTTTCACACTATATAAATAAAACTGATAATGCATATTTAAAAAAAGCTCCATTCAGTCGGAGATCTTTCCTTCTCTTCCCAAAAACTGGGTAGTGGTCTACGAGATTATTTATTTTATGATTGGTGGTCTGCGAGAATATAAAAATATTAGCGTTCACTCGCATAGGAGATATCTTAAGCTATTTAAAAAATGTCCATCCTCCAAGTGAATGGAATCGGTATAATATTTGAATATAGTTTGTGAAAATTTATTTTCATAAGTATTTTAAGAAAAGGAAAAATGAGTTTTTAAATTTTTAGTAACACATGATATTGGGCACAAAACATTTAAAATACAATGCATAGCATACAAGCAGTAATTCATTCTTGAATAGCCTACATTAAGTTTTTATTACATTATATCATAAGTGATTACTGTGCCATTGGTGAACATGCACACTTTCCATTCTTACAGATATATATTTTACATAACAACACATGAAGAGGTAGAGAGTGTCTACCAGTCAGCACTGTTGTTTGCTAAATAGTCTCTTCTTCCAATATTGGATGCCTGTTTGTTCTGAACAGCCTCTAGTTTGGGACAATCTTTGATCCTGTGACCAAGTCCACCACAGTAAGAACAGCCTCTCTCTTCTATAAACATTGAGAAAATATTTCATTCTTTATATGTCTGAAGTAATATATATTTTTAAACGTATTTTGAATCATATTCAGAAATTACAAATAGATTTGTAATTAGACAATTAAACAAAACTAAATATAAAAGTTTAAATTTTCCAATAAAATAGATTTATTAAGTTGTCATATTTCATCGATTTTTCATAATAAAGGGAATAATAAATATAAAAATCACATTACTCAAATAATTATAAACTTTAATTGACTGCAGTATTTTCGAGTCACAAAATAAATTATAATATAAATTTTTGTTTTGTTATGTTTACTTTACTCTTAATTCATAATTTCAGTAACCAGGAGATTAAATTTATTTTAATTATAGCAAATTCTTGAATAGTATATTAATTAAAGATTTTCATTACAAAAAACAATAATTTTTTTTGCATAAAACTAAACGTTGAAAGTTCCCTATAAAATAATAAAAAAGAAAACATTCAAATTGATTCTCTTAAAGAAGTTGCATGCTTTAAAAATTTGTCATATTTGAGGCTCATTTTATTATTTTAGAAGTATCAGTAGTTTAAATTTTAAAACATTTACTGCCGTAGATAAGCCGAGTCAAAAATAAGTACAAATTTAAAATTCGATGTAATGAGTATGATATATTACGTGAAGTCTGCTATTGGGATAAATTTTAAAGTCCTTGTCAAAATCTTAACATTAAAGATACAAAAATTGTGCTTTTATCATGAGTTAAAAATTCCAAGACTTCCACTATTATGATAATTTTTATTTTATTTAGTTAAATGCATTTTTTTTTTATATGAAAAGAAAAATTGAAGAAATTTTTTCATTTATTTTTGGTAATAATGCAGAAAAGCAAACACTGTTGGTATTTCAATACTTTATTTCTATAATGCAATGTATCAGTGACCACTGGCTAAGTTATCTTTGACTATTTTTATAAAAGATGTCCCTCCCTAAAATCTTACCATTAAAATCAGCATTCACTGTAATCAATGATGTCTGCGAATATTGAATATGGAGAAAGCAGTGCAAAGCTTGAATTCAGAGCTTTGTGTACAAATGGGTAAATTAAGAAAAAGGAGTGACAAGTGAATTTTAAAGCCAAATTTATCTATTTGACATATAGTATTATACTATCACAATTTTCTAAGCTTATTAATTGAAGCAGATTGATTTCATTAATAAAAACATCACCGGGATTATATCGAGATCTTACTGTACTTTTAAAACCAAAAAATGAAAAGACTACCTCCAAGGTCAAAATATTTCTCATTCTCAGATTGTAGAGCAGCTAAGAAAGGTGGCACTTTTTGTTTAGCTTCAATCAGCAAATGCTTCATATCCAGAAGTACGGACTCATCTGTGGAAGAGTAATACACATTTCAAAAACTATGAATCTCATTACATTTTTGCAATTTATAACAGGGTTCTCACTCTTTTAACAAAGCAAAAATTAAGCACTTTTAAGGAGTTTTTTAGAAAAAAATTAAGAACTTTTTTAAAAAAAATTATGGACCTTAAAAATAGCATGATTGTTTATCATCGAATCATTATATACCACCAGTGACAGTGCTAATTATTTAACTTTCTTAAAAAAAATCAATAAAAAAAATGACAAAAAGTAATTTTATTATAATGTAAGTATTGATAAAATTGTTTTAATAATTGTTTCAGGGCTTGCCAAAGTAGGAACCAGACAATTTTTGCAAACCCGGGTCGGGTTTTTAAAAACATTTTCAGATTGTTATTATTAACGACAAAATTATCTGTATTCCCTTTTTAATCATTCTACTGAAATTGAATTGTAAAATTAGGTGCAGAAATATATTAAAAAAAGAGTAAATAAAGAAATTTTGGAAAAATATTGAAAATATTATCACAAGTTTTTATATTTTGCCACTAGACATGCATTACATATTCAGCTGTGGGCCAATCTTGGTAAATATTCAGTTATGCCAAAAAAATTCTTCTTCTCTATTAACAAAATGTTTCATTTATAAGGGTATATATTTAAAAAAATAATAATACTAAGAAGTTGAATTAGAGTTATGCATGAGAATAGCTTTTTTTAACTATGTCATGTCAAATTAAATCCTATTTTCAGTAAAAGCGGGTCATACTAATATCTAAGCACCTTGAATCATTCCACTTTTTTTCTTTAGGCTTAACTTAATATATATTTTTTTAAAAATTCACTGCAATAAATATTTTTATAAAATTTTTAAAGAATAAAAATACAATTATGTTTAAGATTTATAATTTTCAAACTATAATGTTCTAAATATGTTTTTTAATAGTTCTCATTAGTATGTTTTTTAATAGAAACTTATTAATAATAGGGTCCAAAATGATTTTTCAAAGGTATCAATGCATTCCTATGGCTAGAAAATTGGTAAGGTTAATTAATTAACAAATATTTATAAATTATTTATTTTTTCATAATTTATAGACACTTACTTGTAATATTTCTTTATCATCCAGTATAATTCTTAATATTATTATGATTTGATATTTTACTTTTATGGTGAATTAATAGTTCTCAAAAAATCTATTGAAAAATTTTATGAAAAACATTTTTATGAAAAACATATTGAAAGTAATGTGCAACTTAACCATTTTGAAATTATTCCTCAACAGCAAATGTGATATATTTACTTTTAAGATGAGCTTTACAATTATTTCCAGCCAAACTGATATTAGGAATTAACTTTAATATTACTAAACAATCTGACGAAAAACATTTACTAATTTTAAAGCAACCAAAAGTTGAATAGAAACTTTTTTATTCTAATAGACATTAATAACAAAAAGTTTGGGATCTTTTAATTGAGTAGATTTAAATTTTTATGCAACAATTTGCTTATCCCTAAGAAACAAAAACAATAACAATCTAACTGTGTAACGATCTGAAACTTTAAAAAAATTTTTACATTGCAGCAAAACAAGTTATGAAAAGTTACCTAACATTTAACTTTCTTGTTAGGACCAAATCATGCATTATTTAGTACTCAGAAATAAAAATTTAAAATATTTTTGAAAAAACTTGAGGTTTTTCTTCAAAAACTCAATAAATCTCAGATTTTTGATATAAAATCTACGTGGGATGGGATTTTTCAAACCCTGTTTATTACATATCTGTCTAATTTTTAGTACAATCATGAATTTTGAAAAATGTTGTTGCTTTTATAAATTTACAGTTACTTATTACACACTGAAATATTATACAAATTTATTTAATTCCTCCAAGATTTTTGGAAATAATTTTCATTACGGATTCTAGTTCAAAATTCTTTTCTTAGAGTTTTATTTTATTCCTATTAGCAAATGCATTACCAGTAGAACTGCGTTTCTTGAATTCTGTCAATTTTGAAGGTCAGTGTGGGTCTCCTACCTAAGTACCTTAGAACTGCCCCCCCCCAAAAAAAGCACTATCTCTTTCATCTGCCCTTGTCCACACTCTAGTCTTTTCTTTTAGAATGTCACTCTGCTCATAGAGCATCATTCGAGGCAAAAGGCAGAATATATTAATGAAAGAGCCAATATATTAATAAAAAGACATGCTTTCTTCTGCTTGCCTGTAGCCATCTCACACACATCCCTTCTTGTCTCTCTAAAATGCTTTACTTTCTGTGCATGATCTAATTCTAGGTGATAAAAGAATGAGTTTTTGTTTTAAAACATTGAACTGAAAAATTGTTCCAATCAACTATAGTGATGCTGAAAAATTAAGCACTTTTAAGAACCTTGTACCAAAACTAAGTACTTTTAAGGGCCCTTATTTTCCAAAATAAAAGTTAAGCAGTTTTTAGGGATTTTTAAGGACCGTGGGAACCCTGTATAAGCAATATCACATGTTATTCAAACTATTTAATATTGGAATTCAAAATATGATAAATTATGAAACTACGATAAATACCATAGATAAATGTAAAATGCAGAGTATAGATATGTACCAATTTTTTTGGTAGCATAGAAACTATTGTATTTTAGTACCTAATCATCAATACCTCTGGGGTGACACAAGGTGAACAGAATGCAAAAACTTGATAAGAAGATATCAATTTATATACTATTCATATTTAATATAATTTTTTGAACTAAGATATATAATTAAATTACATATAGGAATAGCCATATTGGATTTTTGAATCACGTAAGTAGAAATTGTGATGCATGATTTTTAGATCCGGTGAATATGAATAGCAATATATGATTTTATTCTTGCATGAACACGAATCGAGATATTAATTTCAAAAACTTGTAAAAACAAATTAAGGCTTTGGATTTTAAAATAACGAGGTACGATTTTTAAATTGTGTGAATAAGATTCATAATGGGTAACTTTCAAATAAGCTAAATATGAACATAGAAGTTTGATATTAAAATCGCGAGAATATGAATGGCGATATTAAAAACAATAATCCCCCCAAACGAATTCACAGTTGCATAAGAGTATGAAAACGTCTTGATAAAGAGATTCAATATTTGTTAAATTATGATAAATTATTATTATTAAAACTTAAAATTTTAGATTGTGGTGAAAATTTCGTCGGATTATAACTTTTGACGAGCGGAAGTCTGTGAATCAATATTCTTGAGATACATAGAAGTCCAAGAAAAAATCACATGCCCTGTTCCTAGACTGGGAGGGATGGATACGAAAAACTCGGAATTCTGGGGTACACCAGGAATACAATCACCTCAATCAGTACAATCTTAAATTTAGGTCGAAATTAAGAGAAGGGCTGAAAAATTTTATAAGCAAAACTTATGTGTAATTTCACATGACATAAAATTCAGATTTTGTCCTTTAAATAAAACGTCAGTATATTTAAATTGAGTATGAAATTATGAAAAGAAAATTGAGAAGAAAAAAGCATATGAATATCTAATTTTTTAATTAATTAAAGAGGAATTCTCATCAAAACCTTAATATTTGTATTTGTTAATTTAACCAACTGTTAAAGGAATGTAAATACTTCTGCATGTGACAAAATATTGTCAAAATCAAATTAAAATTAATTTCTTCTCTAAGTAGTTTTACAACAACATCCAAATGAATAAATTTTTTTTATTTATTTTAAACTATTTATCTTATAAAACAAACCAAATGCTTTGTATTTTTCGTCAAAATATTTAGAAAAAATAACTTCAAAACTATAGTGAATGCAAACAATAAAAATTAATAGTATTTCTTTTTATAAAAAATATCAGTATTAATTTTTTTATAATAATGCAAACTTCTGCATTAGATATCTGTTCTACTTTTATTTGCACGTTGATTCAGTTTTAAAAAAGAAACCAAGAATAAGTCTGGCTACTCTAAGATAAGTTCAAAAAGTATCTATTACTTTGAACTGGGTCTATGATTGCTACCCAAAACTTTATACTTATAATTGTTATAAATGACACTGTTCTGGGTGTTCCATCAAGATGTTAAAATTTTACATTAACTGTCACCTGTTTCTCTTGACGATTTTCAGAAGTTTTACTAAAACTAATATTATAAAATTTAATTGATGTACTTATTTAAAGTACTAGATACTTTTAAGTTAATACATAATATCAGATACACTGGAACAAATCTATATCTAATGCATAGATAAAACAACATGTAAGATAGTACAAGTAAATTGCATTAGTATATTTAATATAATTTTTATTTAAAATGTTTTAAGATTCAAAAAAAAATTTTTTTTTTAATATTTATACACACCTTGATCTATTTACTTTCATAATTTTAAATATTAATTTTAGAAACTTACAAAGATGGTATGTGATAAATTAAAAGAATCAATAAAAATTTAAATGTAAAAGCCTACTCAGAAAATAAAAAGTTGTAACAATTTTTTTACCAAACTTTATAAATAAATTAACAAAAAATAATTAATATTAATTAAAAATTATTTTTTACATTGAATTATCTTTGCATACATAATTTTTCAGAATGCATGCAAAAAGTTTCAGATTCGCTTAAAGAAATAATGAAATCAACATAAAGAAGTCCAAATTTAAGAGCGCTTTCTTAACCAAACTATTGGGGCTATTATTTCTTCTTAAGGAATAGAAAGAAGAGTTCATTCAAAAATTATAAAATATGATAATTGTAAAATAACTATCAAAACTAATATTTCAAATTAAGTAAATTGAAAAAAAAAATATTGATTTAAATAAAATAAACTGATTTTTTCCCAAAAAGAGTTTTATTTATTAACAACAAACAGACTGTTTGACTGGCAAAAGCGAAAAAAATAAAAGAAAAAGGATACCATATATAATCAATAACATGTTTAACAGGAAAACAAATTGTTTCAAACATTGAAATACATACCACAGGCCTTATTAATAAATGTGGTGGCAATTCCCGTTTTCCCAGATCTTCCAGTTCTACCAATACGATGAACTACAAATAAAACACATTTTAAAGAAAATTAACGTTGAATACAATTTCACACACTATGATCAGCAATGGAATGCCCGTTAATCCAGGTATTTGAACTTTTATAACAGTTACAGCTAGGTGCTTAAATTTTAGTTAACAATGTGAAAGGTAATTTAATTAGGTGGAGGTTAAAAGGTTGAAAACAAAGGCTATTATGATAACATTATCACATGCAGTCTAAAAGAACAACTCAGTCTCTCAATTATGGTTTCCATGGAAACAGTATGGTTCATAATTATAACTCCATAGGATAGTTTATAATTCACATAGTATGATTCATGTAATTACTTAAATTAATACTTGTGCAAACATGGAACCCTTGATAATTAAATTGATTTTAAATATTTTTTGATCTGATTCCTTTAAAAAGAATAACTGATTTAAATCAACTGTGATTTTTTTATAATGCCATTAATTTTATTAAGCTGAATTTCTATTTTGAAAAAATTAAGTGTAAAATATATTTTGTAAAATATTGTTAGTAAATAGAAATTTTTTAGTGTGATTTTTTTTAAAAGTCCGATTTCAGTGATATCGGTTTTCTTACAAAGAAATAATGAAAGCGAAAATTAAATATAAATAAATTATTTTACTTACAGGCATATCTTTTTGATTATATTATTAAGAAAAAAGCATTGATTTAAATAATCTATTTTTTTAAAATGTATTAATTTAAGTATAAAATGTTATACATTATAATTAAAAGCTCTATTATTTCAGGTGTGATGTTTTAGCAAGTCTTATTTGATAACAAAGATTTCTTACTAAGAAATAAAAGGGATATGCATATAATTATCATATTTCAAAATAGACCAAAAATTTAAAAAAAAGGATAAGTGAGCCGTAAGACATTTTAATAATAATTTTTTATTAAATAAATGCAAAATAAATTGAGGGCAAATTTCTTTAATAATACCCATTTAGTTTCATGCTAATTTAAATTCAGCAGCTTTAAAACTTATTAAATGTGTAGTTTATGAATATCAATCAGAGTAACTTGAAATCATTTTTAATTTTGTATTCTGATCTAAACTTGTTTATTCTTTAATAGATACATAATTGACAAATAGACTCCTATTTCTTAACATTCATTAGCAAGTTGAACTTGAGAAATATAATCATGATTTCATTTATTCAATAATTAAATAACAATTTTAACCATTTCAGAAAGATTAACTAACTATTTTAACTATAATACTGTTTTTAAATATTAGGTATTAGTAATACATCTTACGAGATTTTTTTTTGTTAGCAAAAATCATGTTTTTTTTTTACATTTACTAACTTTTCTTACTATCATAATTTCTAGGACTAGGATATAATATAAAATAGAAAAGATTAAATTATAACTGAATCTCTTATATTTTAATTTAGCTGTAAATTTTTAAAATATCATACAGTGATTGAACTCTATTTTTTATCGAGATAAAAGTTTTTTTAAAGTGCCATTTTATTATGATTATAAGAATAAAAGAAAACTGGCGAAACCAACAGGTCAAGGTATGAATGTTCTAATGTTCTTGAGAGAGAGAGAGAGAAAGGGGGGGGGGATTCTGATACAATTTCTGAGTTAAAATCCTTAATCAAACAGTCATTGAAAAAATTACTCACATCATTTTGTGAACTTTTTTTTTCTCCCAATTTCTTTTTGGAAGTTAAAGACAAAATGACACATTATTAAAACTATGACGACAAAAAGTAATTCAGAAGCATTTTGAATTAATATCATTACTGGTCTCAAACTTTTTCTAGGCATTAGTATTAGTCCATGTTTGAATTATACGAAAAAATAGCATATGCATACATTGGTAACATTTACTAGTTAAAAATTATCATATTTGAATCATATATATCATAATTAAATGTATAATTATGATGTTGCATGCAAAAAAGTGTATTCACCATAATTTTCAACATCTTTGGGCATGTCATAGTTAATGACGTGCTGAATATTATCAAAATCCAATCCTTTAGAAGCAACATCAGTAGCCACTAGGACATCTTTCTCTCCTTGTCTAAAAGCATCAACAGCTCGTGAGCGTTCTTCTTGATCTAGATAAATTATTTAAACATATTTAGAACCCAAATTACTATAGTAGATTAAATACTAATACCATTTGCATAACTTGTTAAAACAAAAAACAGGAACACAAAGCATGATATTTGGGAATTGTGACACAAAGGGAAAATCTCTAAAAATTTTATGTGCAAAAATTAGATAACAATTCGTATACCATACATGTTTTATATTTAATATAATTTTTTAAAACCAACATTTTTAATTAAATAACTTACTAATGAAGAATATAACATCTTTATAGTAACTAATTCAAGAAAAAACTTAATTCTTACAAGAATTGGGATACTGGATTTCAAAACCGCTTGAATATGAATCACGATATTGGATTTTTAAATCGAGTGAATAGGAATCGTGATGTACGATTTTCAAATCGCATGAACACGAAACTTTTAAATCAGGTATATACGAAAATCGGTGTTTGATTTCTTCTACCTTGATTAAATCATGATTACGTCGCCTGCTTCATATTTTCTTTCCCCCTTGTGCAAACTTTTTTTCTTTGTGAGTACGAATGCTTTTTTTATAATAACTATTAATAAAGTATCTGAAAAATTGGAGAACTAACACCAATGTATCCACACAGCACGTGTCTATATTATCTAACTATGGTATACACATAAAATTAAAATTTACAATGTTTTTACCTATTATATAAAGTGATCACCACTATAATAAAATAAAATCTACAAGAATGGAATTATTGCAAATATCAAAACAATGCCATCCTCAGTAAAATTATTACTGCCCGTTTGTAAAATCAAATATTTTTTCAATTATTGAAAGATTTGTGGCATATAGATTTGATTCTGTCACCAACAAAAATAAAAGAATACAGATGGGGTTTCTTAGGGAAATCGAAGATGGAAGTGTAGCGTAAAGGAATTCAGATGAAAACTGTTTATGAATCACTCATTCAATAAGGTCTGAAAGTGCTTGATGTTTTAAAATAAGCTTTATAGCAAGAAATATTGAAAGTTGCAAATAATTTTTTCAACCATGTCGAATCTTTAGCTTGTTAATCAAGAAAATAAACCAATATTTTAAAATTCTTCAATAAATTAAAAATTGTAGCTCATATTTTTTTACTATGTAAATGCAGTAAAAATAAAATATCAATCAATTCAGTTAAAGTACAACCTTATAATATTTTCGAAAAATTTAAATTTGAAATATTTTTTTCCGTAAGTGAAGATATTCTAGCATATGTAAAAGAAATTTAGACTATCACTAAATTAGTATACTCAAACATATAAAACTAGTATTAACTATAAATGTTCAAATTAATGGATTATTAATGCATACCTTTGCCCCCATGAATCGCTACTGCTTCAACATTTTTTAAAAGTAAATATTCATGTATAGCATCAACATCCTGTTTCTTTTCGGCAAAGATTAGAACCTAAAAAAGTAAGAAATTGTTTTAGGCTAACATGGAAGAATCTCTAATTTGTTCTCTATCTCTAGAATCTCTAACTAGAATATTGTTCTTCAATTTTTACACTAAATTCATGTTGTAATAATATTCAATACTTTTACACAGATTTAACACTTTCTGGATAATAATATATGTATATATCTTTTTGACAATTGTATAAATATATATAGATAACCATAATTTCGAGGAGATACCTCATATCATTTCTGACATAAAACGTAAANTTTTAGGCTAACATGGAAGAATCTCTAATTTGTTCTCTCTCTCTAGAATCTCTAACTAACTAGAATGTTGTTCTTCAATTTTTACACTAAATTCATGTTGTAATAATATTCAATACTTTTAAAATGTGTAATTCAAAAACTTCAGTTTGAATCTTTATAAGAAAAATAAATTCAATAAAGGGAAGGGAAACAGATTTAACACTTTTTGGATAATAATATATGCATATATCTTTTTGACAATTGTATAAATATATATAGATAACCATAATTTCGAGGAGATACCTCATATCATTTCTGACATAAAACGTAAAGGCCTAACTGGTGATTTTTTTTTTACTACTAGAGCTGAGAAAATTCTGTTTTATTGAATTAATTTGCCAAAATTTTGCTATTACTCTCCCTTTTTTATCATTTGCGACAATCTATTTTTGTAATTTATGGTCAATAATAATTTAAAGAATTAACAATGCAGGTAAAAAACAGTGTGTAAGAATATGCAATAGGGACTTTCTCCTTCAACCAAAAAAGACGTTGACGAATCAGCCTGGGAACTGTCTTTTACAAAGATTGATTCCCCCTCTCCAGCCGTGAAAAAAAGAAAATGAAAGAAAAATATGCAAAACATTTTCAAAAGTGAATGAGTGGGGTGAAATGTTCAAACAATTTATTTTGTAAGTCAAGTTTATCCCCACTTTCAGCTGAAGGTCAACTTCCTTATTTTTACTTTTAGAAATATAAGATTTCAAAATTTTTAGATGCAACATGCAACATGATCAGCATGTAATGCAACATGATCAGCATGTAGATAAATGGAAGATGATGGTTTTAGATTTTTGGAAGTCTGCTTTTTCACAGTTTTATTGTTTATTATAATTTTTTTCCCTTTGCCAATTTAAAGAAAGATAGTTTCCATTTCTTTTCAATGCATATATTAACAATTTTTAACAGTTAAATCATTCGATTTATTTATAACTGGGATATTATAAATAAATTATAGAAGAAATATTGCATTTCTGAACATTTTATACTTTAATATTGTTTATTTTTTATATTCATTTTTAAAAATTATTTTAAAAGTTTTTGGCTGTTTATTAATTCAACATTAAATTTAGAAATATTAAATTAGTAATAAGAAATAGGATGCGTTCATGATTGTTCGGCTGTTATTGAAAAACTGTTCTTTTTTAGCCAAATTTTGCGGGTGAGGCGTTACCTCAGGGAGTTGCATCTCTACAATATTTCGGTATATGTATTCTTTTATACATAAAATATGGCAAAATAGTTAGATAATAAAAATTATATTAAGAACAAAATTTTGGACTATTTTATTACCATTATATTTATACAGTCATTAGATCAGATTCAGACTTTTTCCACCCAAAAATAAATTCCCTGATCTGGCAATTGTTACTAGATAAAGATATTTAGCATAAGAAAAAAGTGGGCTTCATTTTCAAGTCCTGCCGGAAACTTTATTTAAATAATTTCTTAAAATCTTTTTTTTTTTACTATGTATAAAGATATTTGAAAAATTAAGTCACCCAGATTCAATGATAAAAGAAAATTGCTGAATTCATTTGAAAGAAGACATACTGGAGGCGGAGTTTTTGTGAGAGTATCTAAAAGATGGACAATTTTAGCTTCTTGTTTAACATATTCCACTTCTTGTATGACATCTGCACTGGCAGCACCAGCTCTTCCAACATTTACTGTAACGGGCTTTACTAATGCACTCCTTGCAAAATTNAAATAGGACGCGTTCATGATTGTTCCACTGTTATTGAAAAACTGTTCTTTTTTAGTCAAATTTTGCGGGTGAGGCGTTACATCAGGGAGTTGCATCTCTACAATATTTCGGTATATATATATTCTTTTATACATAAAATATGGCAAAATAATTAGATAATAAAAATTATATTAAGAACAAAATTTTGGACTATTTTATTACCATTATATTTATACAGTCATTAGATCAGATTCAGACTTTTTCCACCTAAAAATAAATTCCCTGATCTGGCAATTGTTACTAGATAAAGATATTTAGCATAAGAAAAAAGTGGGCTTCATTTTCAAGTCCTGCCGGAAACTATATTTAAATAATTTCTTAAAATCTTTTTTTTTTTTTTACTATGTATAAAGATATTTGAAAGATTAAGTCACCTAGATTCAATGATAAAAGAAAATTGCTGAATTCATTTGAAAGAAGACATACTGGAGGCGGAGTTTTTGTGAGAGTATCTAAAAGATGGACAATTTTAGCTTCTTGTTTAACATATTCCACTTCTTGTATGACATCTGCACTGGCAGCACCAGCTCTTCCAACATTTACTGTAACGGGCTTTACTAATGCACTCCTTGCAAAATTCTGAATCTTTTTTGGCATGGTGGCAGAGAAAAGAAGAGTTTGTCGTTGACCCTAAAAAGTAATACACATAGCAAATTTAAATTACCTTTTTAAAAGAACCAACAAAATTCTCATAGAAAAAAAAATTATTCACTGAAAATTAAAAAATACAACTTTTTATTAGTGGCACACAATATTTTATTCAAATATTGAATTGATTAATATTGTTAGGGAACAAAATCAGGCCGAATTCATAAAAAATTGCAGGGGCAAAAGGTTTATTGTTCACTTTGGTAATATCTCAATATGAATTAAGCATCTGCTCTTAGATAAAAAAATGTTACCTAAAATAGGCTGTTTTGTGTTTTTTTTATTTTTTTTTTTAAAATATCCCCCAAGCAAAGCTTTGCATTGAAAAAGTGTAAATATAAAAGTTGAAGAAAAATAAATTTTGCACAAAATGAGTATCAATATATATTTTGTTTCAAATATGCTTACTTGACTTACGGACACTTCAGGGCAACTTTTTTAAGAAATTTCATTTTTTTGCTAAAATTAATGTTGAATTGCAGTAAAAACAGTTTGGCAACACTATTGTTTAAATATTGGCTAGTTCCATGATGTTTTGATGAATCCTTTTTTTTCACAATAAGTTATATCCCAATTTAACTACCCTCAATCTCAATTTTGCCCTCGCCCTTATGCCGGGGTGAGGCCAATGTACAAAAATATGGCAAATATTTTTATATTACTACAGAACATATTTTGACAAACTATGCAATACTTAACAGAGAAATGATTCAATGATTTTTGAGAAAACTTTCAAAAGGTTAAATTTATGGCAAGGAAGGTTCAGAAAGCACACCTTGAAATAAGAAAATATGGTCCTAATGTCTTCTTCAAAGTCTATGCCAATCATGCGATCAGCCTCATCTAAGCATAGATATCTGCATACGTCTAGTGTAACATTTTTCTTGTCTAACATGTCCATAAGTCTTCCTGGAGTAGCCACCATAATATGAACACCCCTGAAAATATATTAAAGCTCCATAAACTTATTTGAACGCTTAAACAAAACAATGTTACATTTGGTGGAAATAAAAATGCATTCAGGTTTTTCACATTTAATATTATAAACAGTGGAGGGAGAATTTTTTTACTTTTTTTTTACCCAAGTCAACAGAACCTGATAAGAAACGAAAAAAAAAAAGTATGATATTGTACCGAGCACAAGGGTTCATTTGGATGGGATATGAGAATAAAACAGTTTTTAAGACCTCAAAATTTTCATTAGTAAAAGCTTAAAGAAATTGCAGCTATTTACAGTACCCAATTACATAGCAAAACACAGACTTCAAAGCCTTGGATGGTTAAATGAACGGATGGTTCTCAAAGCCTCGGATGGTTCATTAGAGACTTGCATATCAGAACACGACTGCAATCACAAGCTGAGAATTCCTGCAGCGAATTTTAATGATCACTTTTTGATACAATTTATCTGTGCATACTTCATCATAAATATAAGTTATTTTTTCTTNTATCAAATTGAAGTTCATTCAGGTTTAAGCACATTTCTTAAGACATTCATTTGCATATTTTCTGAATAAAATTTTTAAGTCAAGTAAAAAAAAAATAATAAATATATAGCAACTTGATATAGGAAACGAAAAAGTAAACAATGACCCACCCCCTCCATAAGTTGACCACTTGTCTAAGTTGACCACTAAAACAATGCACCACAAGTGGTCAACTTACACAAGTGGTTTTACTGTATTTAAATACAATGTTATTGCACTATGGAAAATTCCAAAACTTCTTACAGTAGAAATTTTATTTTGCTTTAAGCTTTTTTTCCAACTTGGTGATTTTTTTTAGGAAGAAAACATTTCCCATTTAAAATTCTTAAAACCTTTAATAATTCATGAAATAGAAATAATATCTAAAAAATAATACTAAATAAATATTGAAAGGCTAAATAATTTAAATTTATTAACCAGGCCCAAATAATTTACCTCAGTTACAGAGTGATATCAATCATTTTTGCATGCTGTATTAATTTATGAGATTGTAAAAAAAAAAGCAACAGATAATCACATTTGAATTTCTATTAAAAAAAATAATCAATAATTACTATTGTTTTCATTTAT